AATAGATAGTAGCCATTATTAGCTTCTGAGTAAAATATGATTACACCCATTTAACAACAAGAAAAACAGGAGAGCCCAGAACTTAAGCCACCTGTCCCAAGAGTGCAGCACAACTGTGAAGGAAAGCTGACTCAATCCAGAATGCCGGGGCTTGGAGCCTGGCTTGGTTCTGCTTAGCTGCTATACATGGGGCAATGTCATTAACCTCAGTGCCTCAAGTTGTCTCACCTGTAAAATAGGGATAATTATAGTATTGACTTCAAAAGGTGGTCATGAAGACTGAAACAGTTAAGAGGTATAAAGCCTTGAGAACAGCTCTTGGCACACAGCAATCAGTGAGTTTTAGCTTTTATTAACAGGGTGAAACTGGGACTAAGACCTTCCAACTCCCAGTCAATACCAAGGTTCTACTGTATCCCATTCATTTCCAGGGCCCCTAAATGCTGTCTTTATATTTATGTCAGGGTAGCCGAAGACTACCATTCAGCTCCCTGCCTCTACCCAGGGATCTCTAAACTCTGAGACCCCAAAGCTGCAGTAGAGAATTCAGAGGTTCTTTCCAGCGTCCTGGGAGGGGGGCACCCAGCTCTGAGCCCAAGATTTCCCTGGGCTCTCAATGGGCTGAGAGGAGTTTGCAGGCCGACAACCCATCCACTAAGACACTGGCTCCCCCTCAGCTTCCTGAGGTCTACCTCCTTCCTTGCTTCCCCAGGCCTCTATGCTCCCAGAGGGAACCTCTACTGTTTTCTGGGACACCCACTACTCATGACCTTGCACGATTGTCATGGCCAAGCCTTCTGCATGCCTCGTGGAGGAAACTCTGCATAGCTTCTTCTAGTGCAGTGTATGGCTCACAGTCACACCGTGCATCGGCGTGCAGACAAGACTGCCTCCCAAGGGCCAAGATTCCCACCCATGTAAAAGCCCCTCCAGGTATCTTGAGTACAGCAAACATCAAATAATTGGTCAAGCGGAACACGTCACGTTTTACCAAGTTGGGAAGAGCTAGGTCCTGGCTTTTCCAAACTTCTAATTATTCAGTTTTATGAGCCTTGACAGTTTGTTGTGGATTTTTTTTTGTCTTTATTTGCTGCTATTTGTGTAAGGATCAGTGTGCACTTTGTAGAGAGCATCAGAATTTCTGAGTTTGACAATGAGCTCAGGCATGCCTGCTGTCTAAGTGGCAGTAATCTTGAATTCAGTTTTAGGTGCAATCAGGACAGGGTCCTTTGGCAATGGAAACAAGGGGATAAAAGCAAACTGTTAACCCTTTTTTAATGAAAAGTTCTTAAAAGTTAAACAAAGCCACCAACCCATAAACCAAATAATTTACAGGATTGTTAATCTAGTTTAAAAAAGCCTGGGAGACTGGTTTGAATACTACCACTAACTCATCTGGGGCAAGTCCTGTCTCTTTTCTGGGCTTCAATTTCCTTCCCTGTGAAACAGAAGGCCAGATCAGACATCTAAGATGGCTCACTACTGACTGTCTGAAACTTCTGTTCTCTATTTAATGCTCTGGGTAGGACTTTTTGGTCTATGTTCAGATAGAAAGGAAGGACATAAGACTAGAAGTCTAACTAAGTGGGGAAGATGAAGAACTGCATTAAGAAGTCCCCTTACCCGCCCCCCTTTTTTTTTTTTTTTTGCGGTATGCGG